TCGCCCTAAGCTCAGGAGGAAAAGAAACACACAGACACAAATAATCCTCGATTCCCCAGAACATATGGGAAAATATGGGAAGTGGGGGGAAGACAGAAACCCAGAACATATGGGAAAATATGGGGCATATTTTTATTTGTGTGTATTTCTTTGTGTGTCCTGGGGGCCCTTCATGAGCATCGAGCTACAGGCAACTCGCACAGTAAGGCCGAGCCACGCTCCAAGGCTGCCCTTGCTCCCCTCCCCTCCGGTGCATCCGTGGCCGTTTTGGCGGGCCGCGCCCCGCTCGCAGATGAGTGTTGACACGGCCTTCCGAGGCCCTTGCATCCTGATCGTCGTGCGTCCTTCTTCTACGGGTGGACTTCACTGTGTGTGCTGGGTTCGTGCAGTCGCCCCTAAGCCTGAGCATCTCTGTCCAGCTGCCCCCCCCCCCCCCCCTCGGCGACCCAGGGAGGGCGACCCGACCCCGTCGACGCGACTCGGCTCTGGTCGAAGGGCCCCTCCTGGTCTGGTGGCAGGCCCAGGTTGAGGACGAGTCGCTCCAGAGATTTCTTGGAGCGCCCTCATCGTCATCCTTCAACCGATCCCCATCCCCACTGAGCCATGGTACCTCAGCCCCACCATCCCATCCCCCCAGTTGAGGGTAGGTCACTCAAAACCTGAAGCGAACAGCATCTATCCCATCTGGCGGAGTAGGTAAACCGACCAGTGGTACCAAGGCCACGCCAGTGGGGATAGGGATCAGCTACACAATGCTCACCGCACGCCCTGCATTCAACACACCTCCGACGCTGTGATTGCTTCACGGCGTGGCTCCCCCGCTGGTCCGGACCCCTCCCCGTGGAGCGGCTCTTCGTCCCAGGCCCTTCCCTCTACGAGTCCCCGAGGCCCACACGGTACAGGGGGCCCGAGAGGCCGACGGAGAGTCGCCAGAGACGCCTCCCGTCGTGCTCCCGTTCACGGCGTGAGGCTGCCACGGGCTGCTTGGCTCGTCGATCGCTCCTTCCCCGCCAGCCGCAGATGTGATCTTTTCAGGTCACGGCCCCAGAGGTCCCTCACCACCTACCAAACCACCCCAGCCCAACCCGAAGGCCTCCATTGGCCCAACGTATGGAACCCATACCCCCCAAACCCAAAATTTGGGCCTTCGGGTTGGGTTGGGGTGGTCTGGTACGGTAGGTTCGCGTCGTGTCGACCAGCGGCGACCCCAGCGCGGGCGTTCAAGGTTGAACGCCGCCGGCGACCCAGAATCGATCGATGTTGAACGATCGGACGTTGCGGCAGCGGCCGATCGTTCAAGGTTGAACGATCCCTGCGGTGTCAAAAACCAACGCTGGGGTCGGCACGACGCGAACCTGCCGTAGGTAGTCCGTCCCAACCCCTTCCCGCAGGGGGGGGGTTCTCCGTCCCCGGATGCATGTCTGATGGCCCCCATGGGCCCGGCCACGGGCCCCGGAGGCCGACATCGCGGAACAACCGCCGGACTGAACAAAAAAAAAAACACCTCGTCGGAGGTCCTCCTCCTCCTCCTCCCCCCTCCCTCCTCCTCCTCCTCCCCCCTCCTCCTCCCCTCCTCCCCCTCCTCCTCCTCCTCCTCCTCCTCCTCCTCCTGCTCCTCCTCCTCCTCCTCCTCCTCCTCCTCCTCCTCCTCTGGGGCGGCGGCCGCCTCGATCTGGCGGCGCTTGTGCTCGGCATGCCCCCCCCGGCTCCTGACCGACGCCGGGCCGCCTCTGGAGGTGAAACACGTCGCGAGAGTGCTGCGCCCCAAGAGCTGTGGGGTCCCCAAGACTCGGGGGCGGAGACGAGGGGGGTGATGACCAGGGGGGGGCGGATATCATGGCGGGGGGCATGATACTTCCCCAGATTTCATGGCGCCTCTTCTGATTTCAATACGGTCCCGGCCCCCCCGCTGGGCCGCGCACATGCCGCCGGCAATGATTTGCACCCCTCTTGGACACCCCCCTCTTGGCCGCTCCCGAAAGACTTCCTACAGTTCCACACGGGGAGCAGATCAGAGAAGTAATGCCGCTACCCTTCCCTCGCTTTCACCTTTCTGGGCCTCCTGGGAGGCCCTCGTCGCCCCCGCTGGGTTCAATTCGAAGCTCTGGTCAGCACGCTTCCCGGGGGAGCTCCGGGGAGCAGCGGTGCTCGGAGCTGCTTGTTGCCCGCAGCAGAGACGGGGGCCGACGGATGCTCCGGAACTCCGGGGGCGCATCCTACGGGCCAATCGCATGATTTCGCCATCCTAGACGTCGTCCATCCGATTTTGTTCAACCCGCAGCCCCAGGGTTTCCGACCGATTCCTCCAGGGGTGAATAGTTGTTCGTCCCACACCCATCTTTAATCGCCCCACCTCCACGTTTGATCGCCCTGGGGCCCGATGAGGGGCCCCAGGTGCCGATGAGGGGCCCCAGAGACCCTGGGAGAACGCCGGGAGTGAGGACACCAGACTTATCGTCGGAGAATTGGGCCTGGGTGCTGAGTCTGGCAAGGCTGCGCTTTGCGCACACACAGCCCTGTGGAGGTTGTCTTCCCAGCTGGCCTCAACAGGCCCCCCGAGCAGTCCGGGGCGGTCTCGGCACCTCAACCCTGGGGCGCGGAGCGCCCCAAGGGCGCCGCCCGAGGCGGCGCCTGGGTGTTGAGACCGCCCCAGGCTGTTTGGGGGACCTGGTGAGGTTACCTGGGACTACCTTTGGGGGGGGATGTCTGCGCACAGCCCGAAGCCTCGCCAGCGCTGAGCCAATCGCATCATGACGTGGGAGGCCTTCCAGAACGGAAGGGTCGGAGGATCGCGCCGCATCGTCACTGCATCGGCGATGCGTCGTCGATCTTGGCGTGGAGGAGATCGGGCTCTGCACCGAGCCGCGTGGCCGGCGTATCGGCGATGCGGGGCGATCCTCCGACCCCATCTGGAGGGCCTGGAGCCTTCCCCGAGACCGAGCCCCAGACATGCGACGCCTCGATTTTTTCGATACGCGCTCCCCGGAGGTCTCGGCCCATTCCCCGGGGCCGGCTTTTCATCCTGAGCTGATGTTTTCAGGTCCTGGGGCTTGGCGAGGGTCCCCGGAGGCAACAGGTGGCCAATTGCTTCCTGTCGTGTCTTTCAGCGGCGCGAGCCTTCCTCGCCCTGTGGCCCAGCGATGCCGACAACGACGACGACGACGACCACGCCGACGATGATGATGATGATGATGATGATGATGATGATGATGATGATGATGATGCTGATGCTGATGATGATGATGATGATGATGGTGGTGGTGGTGGTGTGGTGATGATGGATATGATGAGTAGGATGATGATGCTGATGATGATGACAAGTATGGTCATTATGTTGGTACTTATGAGGATGACTGTGATGATGCCGATAATGCTGTTGATGCTGATGACGATTGTGTTGGCGATGAAGATGGAGTTGACAATAACGATGATGACGACGACGATGATGATGATGATCATGATGATGACCACGATCACGATTACGATGAAGGTCATGAATCAGATGATGGTGGCGATGGTGATGGTAATCTAGATGCGGATGAACATGATGATGCGGATGCTGATTATGATGATCATGATGGTGATGATGATTAACATGCCGATGATGAGAAGGAGGAGAAAGATGAGGAGGATGACAACGATGACGATTATGATGATGATTATGATGTTGATGATGAATGTGATGCTGATGGTGATGGTAATGATGATGGTGAAGATCACGATATTGATCATGAGGAGGAGGAGGATGGGGATCACGAGGAGGAACATGGGAATGATGAGGATGAGGATGATGATAATGTTGAGGATGATGATGGTGGTGGTGATGCTGATGGTGGATGTGTTGATGATGATGCTGATGCCTGATGCTGCTGCTGATGATGATGGTAGTGGTGGTGATGGTGATGGTGATTGTGGTCGTGGTCCTGATCGTGATGGCGATGGTGATGATGATGAGTAGGACGATGATGATGATGATGATTGTCATTGTGCTGATACTTATGGTGAGGATTGTGACGTTGACTGTGATGATGCTGAATGCAATTGACGCTGATGATGATTGTGGTGGCGATGGAGATGGATTTGAAGATGACGATGACGATGACGACGATGATGATGATGATGATCATACTTATGTTCACGACCACGATGACGATTACGGTTACGGAAATGATGATTGTGACGATGGTGACGGTAATCAAGATGCGGATGAACATGATGATGCGGATGTTGATTATGATGATGTTGGTGATGATTAACATGCTGATGATGAGGAGGAGGAGGAGACAGATGATGAGGATGAGGATGATGATTATGATGAATGATGACTATGAGGATGAGTATGATGTTGCTGATGATGGTAAAGGTGATAGTGGAGGTCACGATATTGATGACGATGATGAGGAGGAGGATGATCACGAGAAGGAACATGAGGATGATGATGAGGATGATGTTGATGATGATGGTGATGATGCTGAGGATACTGATGATGATGGTGGTGTTGATGATGATGCTGATGTTGCTTCTGATGATCATGATGATGGTGGTGGTGATGGTGATTGTGGTCGTGGTCGTGATCGAAATGTTGATGGTGATGATGCGGATGATGATGATGATGATGCTGATGATGATGATGATGATGATTTTGATGATGGTGATGATGATGATGCTGATGTTGGTAAAGCTGGTGATGATGGTGATGATGCTGATGCTGATGATGATCATGCTGATACTGATGCTGATGTTGCCCATGATGATGAACATGGTAATGATGATCATGATGGTGGTGGTGCTGATGATGATGATGATGATGATGATGATGATGATGGTGGTAATGATGATGCTGATGATGGTGATGGTGGTGATGCTGATGGTATGATGATGATGACGACGATGATGATGGTGGTGGTGATGAGAATGGTGATGGTAATCGTAGTGGTATTGGTAGTGCTGGTGTTAACGATGACGAGATCAAAGCCCCCTCCTCGCCCCTGCAGCGCCAGGCTGCCTCCCCTCGCGCCTGCTGCCCGCAGCCCTGCTGGCCGCGTCGCTTGCGGCGGGGCCCTGCTGGCCGGCGCCCGGCGCTCAGCGAGGGCCCCGAGGGCCGCAGCTCGGGCCGGGTTCGGGGCAGGGGCTCTCAGGGGCCCTCGGGTGCAACGAACGGGGGGGGGGGACAGGAGGAGGAGGAGGAGGAGGAGGAGGAGGAGGAGGAGGAGGGAGGAGGAGGGAGGAGGAGTAGGAGGAGGAGGAGAAGGAGGAGGAGGGGAGCAGGACCAGTGTAAACCCAAGAGTCATCAGCGATGTTGGAGTAAACCCTTCCTCTTCTTTGGCCCCTGCGACGGTTCCTTTCCATTGATGGAATTGCCTCGTTGGAAAACACCCGTTGGAAGACCCTGAAGCATGGCGAAACATTTTTCTCGGGTTTCCAACACCACGGATCAACCTGACTGTTGCGTCTTGACGATCCTGAATCATGCCAGAAAACCAGTCTTAGGATTTCATCACAGAGAATCAATGTAACTGCTGCACCCGCATAATCTGGAATCCTCCAAAACACAACTTCTGGTACGTTGATGGTGGGAATCCGTAGAACTTTAAACATGTTGTAAACGAATGTGCGCGGCGCTCAGACGAGAGCCACATTTTGAAGAGGAATCGCCCTCCATCCGTGAAGCTCTTGCAAATGTTCATCAGGAATTGTGCCCCTGATCGTGAAACTCTTGCGTGCAGCCGAGGAGGCACGACGACCATGGCCATGACCTCGAGGCTCGAGGTTTTGGGGGGCGTTTTCGCAGGTCCTCGGCAGCTTCTCGGCCTCGGGGGGGCCCTTCCAGCAGCTGCGTCGCGCCGACGGGCGCTCCCGGGGGGGTCCAGATCCTCGCCGAGCGGCCGCCAGAGGCCCACGTTGCGACCCGAAAGCCGCCAGAATCCTGCAAACTACAGACATCAGCAAAAACAACGACCCGACAACGTCACACCACCGACTACTACACCTTAGGCGATGCTTAAGAAAACCTAAGTTTTCGGCCAGAGTCTCGATTATTCTTAACGTTTCAATGTGAATCCTAAGATTTTGATAGACATGTTGGGTTTTTATTCAAGTTCTGAGACCATGAATTTCTTAACCCATGATTTCTTAACCATTTCGCGTGGTGTACAACAACCAGCTACTCACCCACAAAAACACAACTCCAAGACAACAACACGTGACCGACGTACATACTACTCCTCCCCTAACCATCGAGACACACCCAAGATCTACAACACCACCGGGAGAACAACCTCATCACACGGCACTACACCTGCACCAGCATAGTAATGAGCGCGACAGCAACCAATGACCTAGCATAATGGCATACCACAGGCGATTTTACCTCGTTTCGGGCTCTGGGACCCTCACGGATCGATCCGGCTCGGAAAAATGCAGCAGAGCGATGGGGTCCAGGGCTCTGGTGGAGTTGTGCTACGATGCTGCCCTTCTTTCGTGACGTCGGATCACAGGGATGACCAGATGAACATGACCGAGTCATGGCATTGTACTGCTTCCCGCGGAGAGCCCAGGCACCTCCGTCCTCCTGGTCGGCGTCACCCTAGCACAGTATGTGCGCGTCGCCCTTCGCAGGGACGACGCGCGCGCCGTGAAATCTCAATTGCAGCAGAAGTTCCGTGGCGGGCGCCTTCTGGCCGTACCCCACGATATGTTACAAGATGTTTGTGATTGTCATATTTTTGGGTCTGACGCACGCCTCCAACCCAGATCCCTGGCGTCATGATTTTGTCATGACGTCGACCCCCCCAGGTCTCGACCCATTCCCCATGACTGGTTTTTCATCACGAGTCGTCTTGTTGACGGTCCCATGTCCCGATGGGGGTCCCAGAGGCCGAAAATTGGGAACAACCTCCCGCCATGTTTTGTCCATGACCCGAGGGGTTTTGGGCCGGACGGGGTTAAGACGAAGACGAATCCGTTCCTCAGCGTTCCGGAACGCTCTCAGAGCGTTTCGGGACGCCTTGAGAAGTCCGCGGCGCCCGAGACATCTTCCAGAGCCGCCAGATCTCAGAGATTCTCGATTCATCCTTACTCGAATCTATCCTCGCCCTGGCTTCGTCTTACTTCACCGGGCGCGTTCCACGACTCGCAGAGTGCCTATTGGCAAGCGTCTCAACAAAAAACAGGTGTGCCTCGATGCCACAGATCGTAGAGCCCCCGCGGCGGCTCCAGGCCGCTTGCGAGCAGTTGCGTTGCGAGTGGTGGAACGTGCCGGTTTATCACTTCGGATGCAGCTCTTGGGAGGTCAAGTTCTGAGTTTGCTCTGGTCCGAAATCCGGCTGAGTCCGGCTTAATCCCGCTTATCCGTTTAATCTGGCTTGATCCCGCTTCATCCGAGGCCCGTTCTTGCGTAACAGCCCCCCAAAGAGGCTTACTATCCTCCATAATCCTTTCGACGAAGACCTCCCATCAGTTGCCTCCGAATATCACTGCGAAGGTGGACGCACACCACCAGCATGCCCTTGCTCCGAGGCGGGAATTTATCCATATCCACCACCTGGAGGGTCAGTTTTCGGAGCCTCGGCAGGCGGTGGATATGGACATATTCGGACCCCCGAGGGCCGCAATATATATATATATATATATGTATATATAGATATATATGTATATCTATACATATAAATATATATACAAATATATGTATATGTACATACATATAAATATATAAAATACCAGACTGCAGTGGCGCTTCGCGCCATGCACCTTGGTCCTTGAAGTTTGGTGCGCAGGCGGAATAGCAGGAAGGTCAAACCGACAATTTAGCAATAAGTCCTTGTTGCCTTTTCTGGCATCGTCGCTATGATAATGTTATTCGTTGTCCTTCGCCCATACTTCTCTTTCTTCATTTTCGCCATACCCTGCGCATTCTCCCCATCCTCTTCAGCTCTTTATTGCGGAGGCTTTTCCTTGGAGAGCCTCTGGGGCCTCACAAAATTTGTTGCAGGCTTTCTTAAGGCCATCTGGAGGCCTCCTGGGCGTATTCTGGGGGCCTCTGGGGGCTTCCTCGGGCCACCCTGCCTCCAACCGCGGTCTCCCTGAACGACTGGGTCACGATTTAGAATGCTTCGGAGGGTGTCTTGGGGCTATCTTGGGCCGCCATAGGGGCTCTCTGAGGGCCATCTTGGACCCGTGTTGTGCCGTTTTGGGGATCTCTTGGATTGCCTGGAAGCGCTTTCAGAAGGTTGTGGGGCGATTTTGGAGCCTCACAGGCGGCTTCGGACGCCCAGAAACTTTAAGGGTAGCTCTTTGGGAGATGTTACAGTATCGGGAGCATAGCTCGCGCGCCGCTGCCTTGGGCTCAAGGCACGCGCGCCCTATTTGCCCGGACACCGCGAGTGTTCGCTATGTGCTGGAAAGATCACTACATCGATATTATCCTATCTTACCTATCCACCCCTCATACTGTACCTTCACAGCAGAGCGATGGATGCAATCTGCCAGGCTATATGACCTATTTGAGTTACCAGGCTCACTTTCGACTTGGTAGCGGAGCTGGCCCCACTCTCGTGTGGTCAGCTCTTGCTCTTCTTAGCCTCATATTATTCGGCACGATCTTCGTGACCACCTACCACCCTGCGCCACCACTCCCAGTACGTTTACGAGGATCTATTCAAGAGCAAGAAGCAACACGAGAGGTACGACGTCTAGACGACCAAACTGGTACCATATACGCTTCATCATTGCGTTACTACCAACCGCTCGGCAACGAGCTAACAGCGCAATACTTGAAGCAAGGGCGGGGAGACCCGCCAGACAGAGCGCCTCGAAGACTCGACAAGGCGCTACCCCAGCGCGACAACGCGCATCATAACCGTCCTTCGTTACACATTCTCGGGCTAATCGTTTTCGCTATCATATGGTTCGCGCTGGGGGCAGCAATCGGACACATGCGTCGTGGAGATAACAGCACCGATGGGCAAACACATGGCCCATATTGGGACCCTCAAGGTAATGTACCTTTTCGTGAGTACATCTACGAGGTCAACGCATGGCTCAACGTTACAAGCGGACGTATGACGCCACAGGCCCAAGCGGCCGCAATACAACGCGGCCTAGGTGGCCTAGCGAGGACACTCGCCATGAGGGTACCGCCTTACATTATCAACTATGGTGCTGACATCGATGGGGTCCACACAGACCCAGTGACCTACATCATGTTCCTCCTAAGCATGAAGTTCGAACGCCTGGATGATGAGCGACAGCTCACTTCCGGCACACAACTCATCGACTTCCACGTGCCTCACGGGGAACGAATCGATGTCACCCTTACCCTATTCGAAATGGCCCGACTTGAGGCACAACCGGTGGGATTCGACCTTCCTAACTTCCATCTGCTAACCACTATCCTATTCCGCGCCTTAGGCGTCGGCAACCAGAAAGCCATGCAACTCTTACAGCCACTCAACCACCAAATGCCTCGAACACAACAACAATATGATGAGCTGCTGGAAAGGATGCGTTCGGTAGGCCACCTATCCGAACGGTCTCCCGGTAACATAGGATCTGTGCTTGGAAGGGGAAGGGGATCTGGTAGTGGAAATTTCTACACTACCTTGACTACTGAAGCCCAGCCTGGAAACGGGCCCTCAAGCATATGGGCCGATGACCCAGGTGAATCCACTGCGTTATTAGCAGGGGATCGATCACAACCAAGCTGGGCAACCAGCCCTCCTTCTAGAGAACCACAACCACACCGCTCGTTATGGGGGGAATCAAATCCCCTAACCGACGGTGTATCCACCTATTTAGGAGACGAAGATTTCGACTCCGGCACCGACACAGACACTATATCATCAGATGGTGTTGAAGCTCTAGATTGGTCAGATATCATGAATATGGATAACGACAATCAGCGTGCTGAGCATTTATTCTGGCTGTTACAACAGGCTAAACGAAGGTGGAGGAGGTTCACGCGAAAACCAGTGCGTCGTGTTAGAAGGAGGATACGCAGAAGTTTTAAAGGAAAGGGTAAAGGCAAGCGTGGTCGTCGGAGGTTGAACGGGCGAGGTATCGCGGCATTTCTCCA